TGGAAGGTGCTGGAGTGCCGGCATGCCAGAAAAACAAAATGAGAGCAGGGGGTACATGGCAGGATGCATTGCTTGTGCCACTTGCACCCTACCCAAAGCCCCTGCCCCAGCCCTGCTACCCTGTGCTCCCCAGCCCTGTTGCCCCTTGCCCCCCACCCAAAGCCTCTGCCCCCAAACCCGGGGTCTGCGGCTGTCAGCAGCTACTCTGGCTCTGGGTAGCTGCTGGAGCCCAGGCTGCTCCTGGCAGGGCTTGCAGTGTCCCAGCTGCCTGCTGGCAGCAGCCCGAGCTCCTGGCTGGCAGCAGCTACCCAGAGCCAGGCCAGCTGCAGCTGGGAGGCTGCAAACAGCTGGCAGCAACTGGATCTGCCTCATCAGAATACTGCCCCAATTATTCCTCTCCTGTTATCTACTGGTAGTATATGTTTATCCTTTGAGCGCTTTAAAATCTTTTATGGAAATAGAACTTCGGCCATGGACAGTCATTACATTTATGCTGGGAAAAAAGCCTTTCTCCTGGCATAAAATGGGAATGCACAGCTGTTGCGGGGATTTCTTGTGGAAGAGAACTAGCTCTTCTGCAAGAAAGCTAGATTGATTCCTGTGAGGAAGATTTCCCTCCTCCCGCACAGACACGAATGGCTGTGCACTCTACTCTTGGGTATGGATGACACCCAGTATCCCACAGCCCTCAGCTATCCCTTCCTCCAAGGGAGAGGGAGGAAGGGAGAGCACTGGCTCCCTGAAGTAGCCCATCCAAGGGTGAGCTGTGTGGGGTCCTGCCTTGGAAGACTTACCCCACCCCTCTGCCATTCAGCTGATTGGCAACTGGAGGCATTCTCCTGCGGCGGGAACCCTCTTGGAGCCTCAAGGAGGATCTCTGCTAGGGAGAGAGGCTGCCAGCCACGCCTCGCCACCTGCACTTCTCCGGGATCCAGGATGGCAGTGAGGTGTGTGGGGGAAGTAGGCAGCTATGCCATGGTGTCTCAGGAAACCCTGCTGCTGTATCAGAATGGTTCTTGCCCTCGTACTCCCCCCTCCACTCCGGTACACTCCAGAGGTGTTCATGGAGTGGGAGTTATTCTCCTATGGTAGGAACTGGGAGACAGTGATGTAACTAGGGCAGGGCAAATGGGGCAAGCACCTCAGGCACTGACTGAGGAGTGGTGAGTGACAAACATGCAGTTCCTTCCAGCAGCTGAATAATCACAACTGTATGGCTGCTGGAAGTTGCTATTGCCCCTGTGCCCCAGGTGCCCAGCTGTGTCCCTATGCTACTACCAGCAGGGTTCCCAGCATGGGAGAATGACCCCGTGCTACCAGTTGCTGATCGGTGGGGGGACAGCGTTTTCTGGAGGCTGAACCCTCCAGGGATTGTCTGTACAGGCTGCTGCTTTTCAACAGCTGCCAACTACGTATTGACAGCCTGCCCCCTTCTCAGGCAGGGAAAGAGGGCAGGCTGTCAATTAATGGGCTCCTTTAGCACAGGGGTGGTCCAGGTAGCACACGTCTAGTGCCCCCTGGCTGGAGAGCTTGCTTCTGTAATTCTCCAGGCTGGAGGCTGGAATTCATGTAGGCTTTTTTTTTTCCACCCTGGCAGTAAAAATTTCTGGGAAATTCTTGCTTGTAGAATTGGGTGCTTATCCATGGCCTCTTTTGTAGGCCACCAGTGTATTTCAATCCCAATAACTATTAAAGCCTTTACACTATACTACAATGAATTGTCTACATCAGAGGTTCTCAAACAGTAGTCCGCAGACCACTACTGGTCCATGAGCTCCATTCAGGTGGGCCGCAGAAAGGTTGCAGAACAACTGAGAGTATCTGTACTTGGCCATGCACTTGATTGATTTTTTTTTTTTTTTTTTTTTTCCTG